TCCTATAAAAAAATGCATGTTTTAGTATGCTCCACCACCGAAGTTTGTCCCATGATCCATGAAACACCCTGTATTATGCTACTATTCTGTGTAGAAGGTGAACTGTATGCAAATTGCTATAATGCTAAACATGTATTGATTTTAACATGAAATATATTTACTCTGATTAGATACCTATATTTTAGTTAACTGTTTTTCATTTCTTTCCAGGGGTAAAAAAAAAAATCACTTTAATGTGCATGATTCCTTTGTTTTCCCATAAATAATTAATTAAAATTTTAAAATTTAAATGCACCTTATTAATATGTCAACATTTTTATACTAGTCAATTTCTTTTTCAGGGTCTCGGGTGCTGTGGCAAATACAAAAGCATTTTCAGTAGCTTTTAAGTGTGCAATGGGGACAGTTTATCATCCTCCAAAAAGATGTTCCATGTGGGAATAATTAACAGATTTCTTCAACAATTACAGATTTTATTTATATTTACAAAATATCAATAAGAATCCATATTTTTAAAATTAATGGCATGTTCTTTCTTCTTTCTGTTCTGATGCACCATGATACATAAAATCTGTCAAAAATACAAAATTATGTCATAAAAAGTATCTCTACATATGGGTGAAAAAACAGTTACAGATAATGCATATCCACAAATATAAAAATATTTAATCTGAAATTATAACCTTATTCACAAGTCTGAACTTTAGGGCTCGGGTAAATACAAAAATCTGTGAGGTTATATTAACAGGTACGGTCAGCTCGGTTAATTCCACTTCAGTGAGATTCTGCATAATATCTGGACACACTCTTCTTTTTAATAAATAATAATAAAAAAGTTTAATCAAATTATAAAAAAAAGGATGCCTCAAAATATTTGCTTTGAAATATATCACGCATTATTTTATAAACTGGAATTTATTATGGAAACAAAATTCCAATCTTCTAATTAAATTTCAACAATAGTGATGCAGATTTTCATGCATTTTAAAAGATTTTTTCCATAGTTAATATTCCAACTAATATAATTTCAGAAACTAAAAGGACTACCACATAAAATTTTTTAAAACTTAGCTGCAAAGTAACTTTCTTTATTATAAATGTAATCCATGCTCTTTCTCCAGTACCAGGTTCTGAAGGGTTTGGGGTCTGATTAAGGCTAGACACCCATTTAGAAAAATAAATTCTTTTAATGAGTCAAAATACGTACATAGTCATAAAATAACAGGAATCACAGTGATGAGTAAAATGCATACACTGAACTTGTTAAAACAGAGGACTCTTTTGCAGTCGTGCAGACATGAGATGCTTATCGCGCATGCACAAGGAGGAGAACTTGAAGGGCAGAAGAAATGTAGGGAACGAGGTAGACCCACAAGGGCAAGGACCATCCAGTAAATATATCAGGTCTAAATTTTCATTCCATTATTTCCAAGTTTTTTTCATATGGCCTAATATCTTAATTAAATAGCAGTTTATCTTAGCAATCCTACTCCTCGGAACAAATAATACAGCAAACACTTACGAGAGCATCTGAAGTACTTTCCCTCTTTCATAAGCTACTCTAAACAGATATAAATAAAAGAAAAATCTAAAGCAGAAGAAAAGAAATAGGCAATTATATTAGGCCAAGGACGGTGCAACCTCTGCAGTTGCACCTGGTGGTAGAATACAGGAACAACAAAATTTTGGATTTAGAAATATGATTGACATTTCAAAATGGTAAGTTTGGGTAGATTTTGTAGATTTTTTTCTATTTTTTAGACTAAATCTGGGGGGGATGGGGGTACATTCATAAGTATCAGTTTCTAATGCCAGAATTTCTGCCTGCCTTTCTTAGGGACACAAAATCATTGATGAAAGTTCAGTTTAGGCATGAAAGGATTTGGCCACCCACATGTTGAAATGCTGCCTTCATCCAGGAAGTGCAAGATATTATGACCCCATATTTGGAAAGGAGAGATTTCCCATTTGGCTTAGGCATCTTTGAAGGAATTCAAGGTCAGAAAAAGGGAGCAGTTTTATGTGACAGACAAAGGACACAAAAGTTTCATTCAGATGCTCATATACTAAGCAGCCAAATATTTCAGTTAATTTCTGGCATAAATTGTGAGGGTTTGTTTTTTTTTTTCCATTAAATTAATCGAAATTCATCACTTCTTCACTCATGGACAAGGGAGGAAATTAATATTTTTACTTAAAATTATGAATAAGTCAATATATATCTGATTTTTCATATAAAAATTTTCAAAATATTCTCCCGTTGCAGATAAAATGCAGGTTAAGAATTCTTTAAAATTCCCAAATGAGAATTAAATCTCAAGGCATAAAAAGAGACATAAAAATGAGATTAATAAGACTAAAGCAGAATACGTTCGTTTTGTTTCATATAACCAAGGAGTGAAAAACAGCATAACCAAATAATTGAAACAACTATTTAAGAGAATATGTATGTGTGTGAAATAAACTTATATCAGCTTTTGAATAATCATTTTGTGTAATAAATTGGTAGATTGAAATTATCAAAAAAGAATACCATACAAAATTATTGTATCTAAAAAAATGGCATTATTCCTTTCATAATTTATCATTTTTGAAGCTATTTAAGTTAATTATGTAAGCTTTACTGTATTCCCTGTAAATCCTATCATAAATCTTAACATCAAAAGTTTAAAAGGCTTATATGCTTTTGATGTTAAAAAAAGGCTACTAGTGGCCCGGTGTCGCATAACTTTTAATTATCATTAGTTTTATCCCAGGTTTTGATTTATAGGAAAACAAACTGGAGATGATTGCTGAAGTGGTTTCATTCATGTGCAGTGTAAATGTGAAGAAATTAGCCTTAAACTCCTAAAATATATCTTATTTACTAGGCATATTTTAATGCATCAGAATTTACTCCAGAAACAAGAGCTATGGTGTTTCTTAACCAGTAAATTACCCATCTACCAAAAATTTCCACTTATTTGTAAAAGATAATTCTGAAGATACAAAATTTATTTTGAAAGTAATATCTCGTCTCTCTTCGTTTGAAAAATACAATAATTTATAACTCATTTTACCAGCGTGAAATATTTATTCATAGAATTCAGTAATGTGCAACAATTTGTGTGTTATTTAAACTGGATTGAATTTAATTATTATGTAATAGCGAAGCACTCAAGGACTATTTGCCTAAGGGGAAGAGAGCCTTCGTGGAGTACTTTCTAGGTGTTATTTGAAATAAAACTTTAAAAAACTGACATGAAATTTATTCAAAATGAATTTTCCTCTGTTATTGCAATATTTCATTAATTTTTTTGCAATTAAAAAGTTTATTAAATATGTTTTAATAGTAATTGAATCAATTCTCTCTTATAAAATCTCTTTTTACATTATCTCTTTCATTGCTGCACCACTATGTGACTTTTCTAAGATATAAAAAGCTTCTGTTATCAGTATCTCTTGATGCAAATAAAAAAGTTAACAATAATTATAAATATTAATGCTCCTATCTGCTTTTGACTTTTTGATCTACCTGGGGTACAAAAAAATCTATTTTCATGAGAAATGTGCAAAACTTGTTTTACACAATTTTACTTTTACTATTTATAAAGAAACTTTATACTTGTTTCAAAATAAAGTATTTATGTATAGGTATTTTAGAGTCTATGGGGCAGAGTGTGAATACTCATCTTTAGACACACATTAGTGTCAATAAGCTCAATAAGCTTAACTGTAAATTATTAAACATTTCTGGGAACTTGGAAGGAAATCGTCATATTCTGCTATAGTTGATATTTTAATTTAGATAAATCCCATACCGTAAGTATTTTGGGTTTCTTTTTAAAATTTTTATTTTGTGTTAAACATTTATTTTCGAAGCTCTTTTGATGCAGATCAATACAATTTGTTTCTACCTGTTTATTAATTTATCCTAAACTTGTGGGAGAATTTCTTAAAATTATTCAAATATCCATAATTTTACTGTTAAATATTTAATAATTATACATTAACTGAAATACATTTATAGTACAGTGGAAAAGCAGAAATATATTGTAGGTCATATATTATGTATCATTAGAATATGACAATAATACTACTACAAACTTGACTGTGAAAAAAATCCAGATGTTTCCGCATGTTAAAAGGAAAGTGGAAACATAAGGACATCTTTACAGAAAAACATTGTATGAAAGTTTTACTGCGTGTCAACTAGGTAAGACATTGGAAATTTACAGTGGAGGCAGGGTATCTTTCATCGCTAAACAGCTGCAGTGAAGTGTGAAATGCTATTGAAATATACTTCTAATTAGCTGATGAGTCAGAATGGTAAACTGAACTTGAAACTTACTCCTTGTCTAAGGTCATTTTTCTAGTCTATATCGAGAACATAAAATACATAAATTTCCCATCAAGTGATTCCCATCATACTTCTTCATTATAAAGGTAAATTACTGATTTGTAGTACTACAGAAACTAAATTCTTATAATGTAAAACTTGCTAAAAATTTAATCCAGCTAAACTTTTAATCTATTTATCTGAAAATCCAAACTTATCACTATTAACAATGCAAATGTCTACTAATATTAATAATGTATTCTTATGTGAACGTCAAATACTTTGATGATGAATATGAATTATAAATATATGTTCCAATATATTTATTTTTCCTTTTTTTGTCATTAATAATTAATGATTAAAATAAAAGGAAAATTGATATGGCTTAATTTATAAGCAATGTAAAAATAGGAAATCTGAGGTTATTAATGATAGTTAATAGAAATGAAATGGTGTTTAAGTAGCTGAAAGATTCATTGTGTTAATCAATAATTATGTATTAACCCTTTGCGGTCGGATTAAATTTGGAGATGGGTATCGTACTGGTTTTTGTATAAAAATTATGTTTTATAATTCTCCTTCATGTGATATTTTTCAAAACACTCCAACTGCAGCCCAGGTTTTCGTGCATGTTCGCAAAATAATTGGTTTGGTGCCTTCGACCCTTAATCTTTCTGTTTGAACATACACTACAATATTACTTCTACATTTTCACAATGCCGCAATATATGCAGTTTTCCATAAATCTTTCTTCCTTATCGGAGGTCGATGGTCTTCCTGTTTGAATCTGCTCGTCAAAAAATCACCTACCAGTTGTGCCACCAATTTTCGGACGAACAATAAATGTGGCATAGGGTCCTGTTCTATTTTCCAGCTGACCCTATATAAAATGAACTATTTATTGCACAAAACTCTAATCCCCAGAAAAATAGTTTTCGCCAACATTTGCATGATTTTCTCATAAAACAATATGAACTTGCTAATTGGTCAGCCTTATCCACAACTCCCATATTCATATTAAAATTTATAATAATGTTTGGTTTGATAATGTTGATGGTCCCAGCTTGTTTCTTCCTTCTTTCTGTAATTGTCATGCCTGATGTATTGCAACTGCTTAGTATGGTGACTATTCTTTTATCTTTCCACGCTAATAATAGAATATCGCCTGATCAATAGGCAGCGAGTATTATTTTTTTTACAGCTAGTTTTGTAACACAGCTGGTACATATTGCCCTGTTGTGTTAATGGTACCA